ACCTGCAGTCAATGAGAAGAATGTTGCCAGCCTCGGCCATGCTGCAGACGAACTGGTCCATGATGCCGCACGGCATGAGAGCGAAGTCGTGCTCCGCGCGCTGACAGGCCAGCGCTTTCTCGCGTGGGCTGTACGTACATTTTTAAAGTTTAGTGACTCCTGAGGAAATATTTACATATATTATCACAATTTAGGAAAATTAGTTCTACGTTTATACCTGGTCATGAATGTAGAGAAGTTGTCTATAGCCGGGACTTGAAACTTGATGGAATCGAAATACTTCAAGAACAAAAATCCCAAAACAACTTAAATAGCATACATCCACCAGGTAAAAACATTTTCTCGTATTAATCCTCTGGATTGCGGAACAAATATAAGAATTTTCTGACGTCATAGGTACTTCGTGAATCAGAGACTGCATAATTAGTTGTTATGCGATTCGAATTCGCACGTAAAACGTTATTTCTAAAGGACATTTTCGACTGACTGAATCAGTTCTGCCTCAGTGATCACAATAGGTAACGCTGGCCGCACAATCGGGTTCCGCGTCTGCGTTTGACCAGACTTGGTTGCAGGGTTGGCGATTTTTTTGATTTTTTTTAAGTTGGTTGGCAAGATAAGAAAGATTGCCTGGCGATATGTCGTATATTGTACTGCAATTAAATATTGTGAAGCATCCTCTCGCATAATGAAAATTCATCGGATTAGATTAGGCATGGTCGATTTGGTATGGCAAGAGTATGTAGTGCAATGATAATTACCGTAAGGATCACGTATGATAATGGTAATTGGACACATTAGACTATACGTAGCAATAATGATGAATATATTGATGAATAATGATGAATAATGATGAATATATTCTCAGAATATATTGGAAATTGGTATGCATCCCATTGATGATAATAAGGAATAAGGATGAGATGGTAATGATAACTGGTATGTTAACAAAGGTACGTAATGATTGTTCGCTTTAGCGTGTCGATTATGATATTATCGATTAGATGGAAAAGATAACTGGTCTATATTGCGAAGGTAATGATGATAAGGATCAGATGGTTAAAATAAATAGTCTAAGCATTACCAGGAACCAAGCGTTACCTCTGAGCAGGTGACTGGGTGAGGGCCTCTAAGAAGCTGTAGGTCGCGACCTCGAGGGCGGCGCTGCTGGAGAGGCCCCCACCGAGGGGCACCGAGCTGGCCACCACCGCGTTGAACCCCACCACGTTCCCTGGACGATACCATCGTTCTTATTTACTGTAATGCTTTCAAAACTATTGATTTGAGTTCAAAAAACAAAACCGAGCTCCCCACCAACAAGTTGAATCCCCGTTCGCTCCCTGCACAATATCGGCAATGTTTAGCAGAGCAAAATTAAAAGTGTTTTAAATGCAGAGCTGTCCAATTAAGCTAGTAATTCAAGTTTGAAAACTAATTTCACACAAACTACATAATTACATTATCGGATATAGGTACTTCTTGTAATTAACTTCTTCAAATCTGATTACGAAAAATGTCGTCACTGGTAATTGCCGCGCAATAATTTTTGCAAAAATCAATTTCGCGGTATCTTACCCGAAGAATGCCAGCTACACATTTTATTGCGATAAAATTATTCCGTGACAGTAAAAATCGTTTACTTGATGGCTCAGAAAATGAGCAACGAACTGATAATAAAAATTCAAGTAATTTTTCGATACCAGTTATACGTGGTAAAAGGGACAGTTGTTTCAATTGAAACAATCAAACAAACAAACGTCTCTTATTATTTCGTTATCCTTAATGGGCACCAAAAATCAAAGCAGATGTTTAAAACGTCAATGAATCATTTATCTCAAATTAAAAATGACGTACAGGAAAATTGGCGCTCGCACTGCTTGTGATCTTCGGGTGAAACAGCAATCAAAAGATGAGCAAGTAAACGATGTCAAGAAATACATTAGTTTTACTGAATGATAGTTGAATTTATGGCTGATACGTTAGAGTATATACTTATTCTTCAAAAACACTTCTGAATAACATTAAAATACCATAGTGTATAACCCCTTGTATTTTATTCGATAAATAACTAAATACAGAAAGTCGATTTGAAATCTATCGATGAATCATTTAACTCATTTTTTGAAAATTTTTACTGAATGAACTGAATCTCTCTCCTATTTAACGAACGCACGTTTCGAGGATAAGAAATACCGAACAGATAAGACATGGTCAGGGCAACAAACGTCACTACCGACCGTGGAAGTTGGCAACGACTCCTTTGACGTAATTAGCCCACGCCGGAGCATCACTCCTGGTTAGGGGCTGCTCTGACGTAGGAGTGCTGAACTCAACGTCACGAGGGTCGTCGGCACCCGCAGCCAGAGTCACCACCCGGCACCTCCCAACGTCGTCGGAAGGACCGCCCACAACCACCGTGTACAGCGGCAGGGCCTATGGAGCATTGTCCGAGTAGAGATAATTAAGTCTGCCGCGTTAATAAAGCGCGCGTTTAAAAATAAAAACTGAATTTTGATTCATAACCGAGCTTAAAAGATAAGATTCTTATCTCTGTTCCAATCATCAATTTCATTTTAGTTATATATTTTACCTGTACAAGAAGTAGATAAAAAAGCTTATTATTGGTTCAGAATTTCTTATCGTAACTTTAGCAGATAAGAGCAACTGATTACTTTATGCTGATAACTTTATGATAACTTAAACTTTTTAACTTTATCAGAGCTGCAATTGATAAGAGATAACTTCACATCTCGGACACTTATCCGGCTGGTTGATGAACATAAAATATCTTTCAAACTAATGAACGCAGCTCGATGAAACTTAGTACATGCTTTCATTAAGACATAACTGTGATGTTTATGTCGCCTTCGTTCCAATTTTGCCCTTGTTTGCGATTTATACGTGGAATCCGATACACAAACGTATTTTTTTGTGAAGCATCATCACTTTTTTACAGTTCATTTACATCGCAAAGAAAGGCAAAATCGTGAATATAAAGAGGCCTTAAACATTACCGCAAGGTCCTAATGAATGCATGTGCAAAGTTTCATCGAGCTGCGTTCATTAGTTTCCGAGATATATATGTTCACTAAACGGCCCGAAAAGTGTCCATGAAGACCAAATCGACACTTATGGGCCGAATTTCCAAAGCAGGTTTTCCACACATAAAACTGTCAAATCGAAACCGATCAATACCGCAATAAAAGTGGAGGTAACGGCACTTATTGTTATTATGCTCCTGTTAGCATCAACACTTTTTTTTGTCCACTTCGATTTTCATAAGCACGCTAAACACCAAGTTTTAGTAGGTTTTCAATTCATAATTTCGTCAAATTGCAATCTATCTTGAGTTATTGACCTAATTAACAACGAAGCTATTTACAATACACTCCTGCGGGCGTTGTCATAATTATTTTTGTTTGTTTTTTTTTCACGTAAGGCGCTACACACTCAGTTTTAGCCCCCCTTTACACGCTTAACTTAGCGTGAAGCACACTACATAAAAACGAAAATTGTGACAACACCAGTAGGAGTGCATTGTGAATAAATAGCTTCGATGTTAATACGCTAATGCGGGGGAGCGCAGCCGTGGGTAAAAAAATTGACTCGTAAACAGGCCCTGGGCCTAACACCAACCATCAGTATGCAATATATACACATAGCCTCAGATCAATGAGCTGTGGGTAACTCAAGCTAACAGTAAATCCGCTTTGCACAACACAGCCACTGCTTCATAGCACCGGAGCACAACTGGCCGGAGCGCAACAGGCCCTACCGCAACAGAGGCGCAGCCTCGCAGGTTACGTTAGGAGTAGCCTGTTGCGGTAGGGCCTTCTGCGCTCCGGCCAGTTGTGCTCCGGCCTGTGACTGAACAGCGCTGTTGTGGTGGGCGCTTTGTGTCAAAAGCCGTGAAGATGCCCGGCTGCGTTACGCTCGGGAAGGTATATGAATCCACTGTGGACTTGGGCTATGCTGACCTCTAGCTATCCACCCTAAATTGCGGCACCGCTCACCAACGCTGGCAGCTGGCTAAAAAACGGATAAAAATGCCTATAATTCAAAACATACCAGTAAATTAGTAAATTTGTAGGTACCTGTGCAAAAAAATGAATTCTCCCTCTTTCCGATATTTTATACTTTAATGAGGTAGTACTGCCATCATAAATTTTTGTCGGCAATCGCAATTGAAAAAAAGTAATTTGCAGAATTTCTCTAGAAAAAAATACCTTGTAATGTCACCTGTGGGTCCTGCCGCATTTAACGTGTTAATTAGGTCAAGATGGGTTACGATTTTGTACATTTATGCGTGGAAAACCTGCTAAAACTTGGTGTTTAGCACGCTAATTAAAAAAAAACGGACTAAACTGTCGGACAAAAAAACTGTCGATGCTAGAATGAGCGTACCTAATGTCAATAAATATCCGATTTGAAAAATTTGCTTTGGAAATTCGTCTCAACAGAGTCGATGTGGTCCGACAGGTGCAAAACCCATGGTTGGACTAGTATAAGGTTGATCCCATGTGCAAAACCTTCCAAGAAATCTTCATACCAAAAATCTTTAAAATAGCACATTGAGTTTAGTTTAATTTTCCAACTATAGATGTTTTCAGGAGTCACTTCTATCTGGACTGTATAAAAATAACGAGTCAATAAATTAGGTTATGAAATTTTCCTGTCATATTCCTCGGAAACGAACTTCACCGGAAAACCTGTACCACCAGTACGTACCATAGGGAAAACGAAACCTTCATTGTAATCGGTATGTTCACCAATAATGTTTACTCTTCCTGGGGCAATGCCTGCTACCGTTGGTGATCGGTTAAAAGTGTTAGAAAACTTCTTCCGAGCATTTTCTATTAGTTCTTCCACTGGAACTTCTCGAGCAACATCCGCCATCGTCCGCTCTCCACAAATTCACCTGTCAACTGAGAAAATGAGAATTGATTTGAACTCGGAACACAGCTGTCACTCGGAGTCTCGGATGGTCGATGGCAGGCTCGGCACGTAATTTTTTTCGTACCTAGTCAAGTGTAATGATTCCATTGTGAAAACTGTGATTACACCCTTTCCCCCTCCTCCTTATGCCGAAAATTAATTGTAAAATGAATGCGTGCCACTGGCAGTCGCAGCTACCGATACAAATTGCAAAGCCTGACGTCTGAAAATCTTTTCAGTGTCACCACGATCCAAAATTCCAAGCTCTTGAAATATGTGCCATATGCCATGGGACAATTTTAAGTAGATACCCGCTTCCTGATAACAGGTTGGTGTTGGTCTACTCCTGATTCAAACCAATTTCTTACGTATGATACTGATAATGCTGGCACTGGGCAGTGGGCCCGCCACTGGCAGCCTAAGTCAGTCTTAGTCAGAGTGCTAGCCTATCCATCATCCATGATATTTTATCAGTCTACTCTACGGTCTAATGTGACAAACCAGAGATTTTTTACAATCAGTTCATTTTTAATTTACTCATTTACTCAAGATTTTAACCAATTTCTTAAATATGATAATGCTGGTATCCATGATACTTTACTGGTCTACTTATAGGACTCAAAAATGAACTTGAGACAGAGTCTAAAAAACACTCTGCTTTGCCAGTTGCCACTATGCAGGCTAATAGGCCTACTTATAGGACTCAAAAAATTAAACTTGAAGTTAAAGGAGAGTCTGAAACAAGTCTCTGCTCTGCCACTAGGCTAACTTAATCTAGACATTTATTTGATTTTTAATTTCTAATTATATTTTTGAAGATTAGGGTAAACGCGGTATATTCCAACACTTTAAGGACGCATCGAGAAATGAAAAACTATAAAAAAAAACCGTATGCATTACGTAAGTTCTGTTGCCTTCACATGACTCTCAAAACACTTCACTACGCGTCAGCAACAATGAAACGTCACAAAATGTTGCCATATTTATTAAAAATCCTTTAGAATGGAAACCTACCAAATCCCTTTATTCCGTCACTTTGTGTGGCAACATCCGACACGTGGTGAGTCGTATTGCGTCAGCGCTTCAAATTCAACTGATACGTATTGCCGACATCCACGTGTTCGAATTCCGTTTGCTGTGTGAGCTGTATTGGGATACAACACGGCTTTGAATTAGAACACTAACGAATATTGAACACTACTTAATTACGTTTTAATTAACAGCTATTAGGCTTTTAATTAAGCAAATTTCAATTTTTGTACAAAGCTTTGAACGATCTGTGTGTGTCCAATTCAAGTTGTGTCGGAATTAGTTTTCATGTGTCGAAATCCAACATCTCAACTTAATCATCTATTAATTTATTTATGACTTGAAATCAGCGAATACAAGTATACTTAAAGGATTCCTAATATATTCACAGACGTATTTAAAAGTCTCAAACCATAATATTCTTCCTATAAAAACAGTTATTCACTATTTGGTAGAGCAGGTAGAGCCATGTCAACTGTCAAATTTGACACATTTTTCGATGATCTCACCACGTGGCATGCATTGTCTCTCTTTGGATCTCGATATTTTCCCGCTAGATGGCCAAGACCTAGTGTTTTTGCAGTATTTCAACACGAAAATGTATGATGTCACCATTTCAACCATCAATGAACGCATGGAACTAAAACAAAGCTTAATATAAAGGAAAAACTAGAGAAGTGACGGAATTACCTACAATGTCGGAATATACCGCGTTTACCCTAGATTATTATTTTTTGAAAATCCTTTTATTTTTCCTTTTATTTTTCCATTGTTTCTTTGAGAGAATGGTACGGTGGTTACTTGGTTAGCCTACTGTGCCAGTGCCTCTATTATACAGCTGGATTAGAATTTTCCTAGGCCTACATGTTTCTGAAATCTTGCAGTTCCAATGTGGAAAATTTTGAATACATTTGGAATATTGCAGCCTGATTCTGAGCTGATTGGGCTCTTTTATTAACAATTAGATGGGAAATAATTCATCTAGGAGCAGGAATCTTGTGGTTTGAAAAATGGCAGCCTGGCAGGAAGACTTTAGCTTTAAATTTTTAATTACGGCTCTAAAGTAATGGTAGATGTTTACCTTGCTAGTCACTACTCTACTCAGTACAGTAGTGAGTAGTAAAACAGAAATGGTTTATAGATTAGAAAATTAGACAAATGGAAAGAGCCACCCATGAAGCATGAATGAGAAGAAAAAACCCAAGCTTGGGTTCAATTCCAAGTTATTTAACATGATTAAACTTAAACATTAAAGACATTGCTTAGTGCTTATCAATTTTTATCCTACCAAAAAATGTTTAATACTTGTCTTGTCAGAACTACAATTAATGGTTTACTGTAATAATGACATAATTACTACAAAGTGGTTTAGATAGCACTAGAGAGATGTGATTCAGTTTAATTAATAAAATAGATTGTTTCTATTGAAGGGTGGCAACTTAAATGCTGTTGCCTGTGTGGCAATGTTATTGTCATTTGTCATTGATGATAAATCAGGCTTGTTAGATGAGATGCTGGCCTGAGTTAGTGACAGTTATAATCCAAACTTACGACCAGTCTGCCATTTATTATAAGGTAAAGAAATTATACCAAAGAATCTCCGAATGATAATGCTACTCTCTGGAGGTTTGCTATGGTTGTCCTTAATTTGTTCCATTAATGTTTGTAAACACTAACCACTTATTTATTTTCAAAATTTATATGAATTAACTAACTAAATGAATGAGCAGAGTTGCTCACTTGTGAGAATGATTCAGAATTTATAGAAATTCCTCCTCCTCCCCTGGTGTGAGGAGGGTAGAGGACACTATTTGCAGTTTGATCTACCATTCAAGCCGCAACAAGTGCATTCCTGTCATGTTAGGACCTGCAAGATTTCTGCTAGATGAATTATCTCCTATCTAATAGTTGATTAAAATGAGCTGTTGGGCCACAAGATTCCACATGCATGAAAAATTTGAAAAATTGGTCACTTTGGAGGCACAATGTTTAATTTATGAGTAGGAAAATTCTAGCCTACTCCTCCCCTATAATATTGAGAGCTGTATAAATAACTTTGTTTCAATTGTCACCTTACAATGGCAATGCGACTACTATTATGTTTACTCATTTGAGTATCAAATCATTTTATCTGTAGAAAAATTGTATGTCCATGAAAATTTTGTTTTGAATGTTTTCACCCAACCTAAATTCTGCATATTTTATGTTTTCAGATATTTATTGAGTTTTAGTGGAAGGGAATATTTATATAGTTCTGTAATGAGTGAGAACACATTGCGGTTATCAGTATCAACGTTTCCTCTGTGCCATTGAGAAATAGTTAACAGCAGAAGTGGAGGTGAGTGCCTTGACGGTGTAGTAAAAATATCCTTCTTGTGTGACATGTGATCATCATTTTCTGATTACAGGCAAGGCTACACAAGCAATTATTCTGCTTTTCAATTCATTTAACTGCAGCTTTGTTTTTTTTTAATTATTCAACAAGAAATAAGTAGAAACCTTTTCATAAAAATGTATGTTGCTTAATTTGTTGAAATTAACTTTTGTTTATCTGATATCTGCATTGTCTATTTCATGGTTATCTACTTCATTTAAGTAGCCAGTGTTTAATATAAAAATAGAAAGTACCCTGTAGAAAACTTTCCTCAATTAGTAAGTCTGATAGGACTAACTTAATTACTGATGGAGGTCAGTTTTAGAGCTGTACTACTGACTGAAATCTGTTTGAAAGCTCTAGAAATGATATAAATCACTGATAGAGTTTCATCAAAACTGTATAACTGATGGATATCAACTAACAAGGTAAACATTATTGATAAATACACCACTCCAAATTTCTGTACCCCAGCTTGCTATTTCCCAGTCTCATTAGTGTCAGTGTTGTATGCCAACACATACAGGCTAAACATGAGTGTTTCAACTTATATCCATTTTACACTATCACATACAGGCAAACATGATTGTTTCAACTGAAATACATTGTACACAATCACATACAGGCTAAACCTGAGTGTTTGAACCTACATCCATTGTACACCATCACATACAACAAAACACAATTTGTGGAAGACACAATGAACACAATTTGTAGAGGACACAATGAACACAATTTGTAGAGGACACAATGAACACAATTTGTAGAGGACACAATGAACACAATTTGTAGAGGACACAATGAACACAATTTGTAGAGGACACAATGAACANACAATTTCTAGAGGACACAATGAACACAATTTCTAGAGGACACAATGAACACAATTTGTAGAGGACACAATGAACACAATTTCTAGAGGACACAATTCCGTGGAATGCTGCGCTTTAGACGCTCGTAAATACTGTGACTCGCTGTGATCATCGCGAAATTTGTACATTTCCGGTATATATATTTATATCAGTAGTAAATATTATTTTAAGACGAAATGTTGTTATGTGTTTTTATTGTTCAAATTGATGCCTAAGTCGGATTATGATGAAAAGGTTGTAGTAGTTGTTTTGTGCAAGACCGCGATATTTTATTGCGTGACAACGGGCATGAAAAATTGTGACATTCCGTAGACCAGCTATAATTACTATCAAAATGGTGTCGGTAAGTCCATTAATCATCTTGATTGATTGGTGAACGTAAAGATTTTATCTTATTATTGCTGAGAATTAATTCCTAATAAATGCAGTGGGGAATTTTGGTTCGATGATAACGTGAACGCGCTGCTTATGTGCAATGTGACGAGTGCCGCTGTCGCTGTGCTCTGGAGTCTGGCGGTCAGTGTGCCGCGGACTGTGGGGAGGTGAAGGTGTCTGTCCTGGCAGACCGTCGTGCCCGCAACTCTGTCACTCTGTCTGTCCTGGCGGACTGTCGTGCCCGCAACTCTGTCACTCTGTCTGTCCTGGCAGACTGTCGTGCCCGCAACTCTGTCACTGTGTCTGTCCTGACAGGCCGTCGTGCCCGCA